CATCTGCTACCTTAATACTAAACCTATAAATATATGCACAGAGATCTATTTCCCCATCCTCATATATAAATATATTTACATATGTACATGCCTTTATTTGAGAATGAAGGAGGTAGCTATCATACAAGGACGAAGCTGGGCATGCTACCTTAGATCCAATACTTTTTTTCATTTGTGGGGGTGCTACAGCAATCACTCTGAATTACATAGCACAGGACCTTACATAGTAACATTTCACTAGAGGGGCGATTCTTACCGAAAATAGAGGGGAGGGGGATGAGATGAAATGTGTCTAATTCACAAGATGGCAATGGCTGTGCAAAGGCTAGAGCACACACACTGAACACTCTCATGAGGTCTTGCTTGGGTTTGATGCTCCAAGTAGGTGTGGGTCTGCAGGCAGGGCTGCGTGAAGGAAGTTAATGCATCGTCTGGACTTAACATGCGGTTTCACCGTGGGCCTTGTTTTTGAACGCCTTTTGAGTACAGGGAGACCAGCATTGTGCAATGTATCTAAACATGGCCTTAATGTTTAGATAAATATGTGGTCATCGTCCAAGTTGAGGAGAAAATGGCTATGTGGTTTCTATCACATGGCCTTCCTGCACACTCTGCATAGGGATGGTGGGGAAAGGACAACCTGTTCACACCGACCTACCTTAATTGCTCTTCCAGGCTCAGTCATCTCCCAGGCTTGCTTCAGGGCTCGGATTTCGTCTGCTCGCTCTGTATCTTTCTTTACTTCTAGTAGTTCCACTTCATTGTGTTCAGTGACCAACCTCAAAACCCAGTAAGGTTTGTTGGGGTCATCTTGCTGAGACTGAACAGCAGATACCTGATAGAATAAAATAAAAACCTCATGGTGAGATATTTTCTTCTTCTCAAAAGGGTCTAGATTCTACCCTAGGGCCCATAATTTCAATGTTAGGTACACATCCAGAATAATTAAGCACACATGCACAACACAGGTGCAAATAAAGGTTCCAGTTCATACACGTACAGGTTGATTCCAAAAAAACCTACATTTAAGCACGTCTCTGCCATCAATGGATGGCCAGAAGCATTTTATCTCTCAATAATACACTTGTCTCAGTCTCCTTAAGGAATCTTCAAAGAAAAATAAGGGCCCAATCAAAAGAGTGGCCTCTGGGGGCACCTGGGGACACTTAATCTCGA